CTATTTCACTATAAACTGCAAAATAAAATTTTAATTTCATTCTTTGCAAGTAACTTAGTCATTAGCCACAAAATATCTTTGGTACGACCCAAACGTATACATTGAGCTAATAAATGATAAATGAATATTGAAAAGCGCAGAAATAACATCACTTCCCGATCCTTCTATTATTTATTTATTGCTCAAAAATATATAATTTTTAAAAAACGCTTGGCAACACACATTCCATTTCTAAGCAACCAAATGAATTCAAATTCAGAATAAATAATAATAAATATATGATTTAAAATTTAATATTAATAAATATAAATATCTCACACTAAGAAAAAAAATATAATCAAATTACCGGAATACCATGTTTACCATGTTTTTTCTCTATGAGAGCACCAAAAAGCTCGTATTTTTTAAATGTGTGCTTTAATTATTTTGTGCAAAATTAGCATCAAAATATCGTTTTTAAAATGTAATAAGTGTAAAATTTTGTAATTTTATCACGAAACTTTAGAGCATGGCATAAAAACTATTTATTTGCTTAAATTCAATTTTCAGTTTTGTATATTTTTTTTCTCAATGAGCGATAAAAAAAAACTATAATTTTAAAAAACAATATTTACAGTAAACCGTTACCATATGAACGGAAAATTACCAAGTGCATGGTTTGAATACTGTATATTTTAGTTAACCAGAATTAAGATTTTTTTTACCAAACATGTCATTACCATACAGCTCGATAATTCCACCAGAAATTTTTTCTCCGTGTAATTTCAGAGAATTTTATCACTTTCGATCAATTAAGTTTAATTAAGTTAATTAAGTTAAGTTAAGTTACTCTGAGTCCAATCAGTGTTTCTTGTCCTATATTCTTTTTTCTAAAAGGACAAGTCAATCACTTTTTAAATTTTATCAACTTCAACGAAATGTTTATCATTAATTCATTTTATTTAGTCATGATTTGGAATTATAACAACTGCGCTACATTGTATATATTTTCTGCTCTTACATTCCATTTAAGAGGCATTACAATCCAATAAAATACAATATATCATTCCAAATGCTCATATTTTCTTGCGGTCAGCGACCTTCCGGAGCTTACCTGACATATGTCAGATTAAGAAAATAAAGCAACAACAACAACAAATACTTATATTCCTCCTTTAAGCTGATTATTAACTTTTCAGAAAACAGTTGTGCATTATAGACTGTTATTAAGCCCAATAATATGAAAAGTTGATTATAAAGTTTGCAAAATTACTATTGATCCTTTCATTTTATCTTGGTAAAACACTTCAAGTATTTGTTAATATTTTTATTTCTTTCTTGTCATACTTCCATTGTTCACTAAGAAAAGCAAACCGTTACAATTGACTAAGAAAATCAATATTTCTCCTAGAACACGAAATGTTGATTTGATCATATCAACTTCGTTACAGAAATTGTGAACAATAAAATAGCACAGTTTTGAGAGGTTTCCATTGATTGTGAGCTTTGTATTGCATGTTATTAGAAACAATTTCAATTGTTCACAACAACATACTGTATGCATATTTTTAATGACTTGACGCCCTGGTGTAAGCACATAGCATCAAAAATGACGAAAGAAATTATTATTTTCTTACGAAATGTTGATTTGATCATTTCGGCTACGTTACAGAAATTGTGAACAATAAAATAGCACAGTTTTGGGAGGCTTCCATTGATATTGTTTGTGAGCTTTGTATTGTATGTTATTAAAAACAATGTCAAGGGTTCTTAACAACATACTGTATCTATATTTTTAAAAACTTGACCCCCTGGTGTAAGCACATAGTATCAAAAATGTCGGAAGAAATTATTTTTTTTTCTAAAAGTTAAATGAAGTTTTTAACAATAAATATATAATACTGTAACAGCTTACTTAATACATAATTCAGTTTGAATTTAAACACTTTCTAAATGGAATGTATTTTTGTAAAGCTCTTTATAGGCACACGAGTACAAATTGTATGCAACTGACTTGATTCTGTTGTATTCTTCGGTTTCTACAGATCGATTTTTACTGGTCATTTACAACACGTTAAATCAAGGACTTTAAACAAAACTTCATTAGTGTCCCGCAGTGGACTGATCGTTAAGACACGGTTCCCAGCAGATCACCGAAGTCAAGCATCACTGGCTGCGGTCAGTGTGCGGGTGGGTGACCACTTGGATTAGTCTGCGTAGGGACCGAGGGTGTGCGGTATTGGTCCTCGTTAAACTGTTCTACCGTAAAGTGCTCGACTTCGCGTGCAGGTCGTCGGGCTACCGAAGCGGGGGTGCCATCCCCTCTGCAGAGGATCAAAATTGTGATGGCATGTCTTCGGATCATCCTCCGGGATGTCTCCCAGACCGTCGCCAATAGCCCATTGTGCAGCTCTAGTGCGACGTAAATTAACTACAACTACAACAACATCATTTAGTGTTTAATACAGTTTTGATGTGAGTCAGATTAATTAAAAATTTAAGAAGCAACAAAGACAAAAAAATTTAAAAATTAATAAAATATCTAATTTATTACTCAGTTTATAAATTTTTAATCATTCATTGATTACCCTTTCATTTCCGACTTGATGTATTATGAAGATAATAACAATACTTTTCAATAGTTAAAAGTTATAAATATTTCTCGAAATTCCAAGACAGAAAGGTAAAAGAGGATGACTTATTGCCTTGTGAGTTCTGTGCTACACACGTTTTCTAGTGCTAAAAGACAACTGAAAATAGCTAAAACAAAAACAAGTGTTGTAGAATTTATCGTTAGTCTTAGGAGCAGTATAAGATAGTAAAACAGTTATCATTTCTGCAATTTCTGTTTCGTGCTAATCTACAAAACTTATTTGTTTTTGTTTCTTTTTCTGTCTACGTTGAACTGTGCTAGATCTTTTCTGGGCTACATATTTATGTTATTATTATCGGTAAGGCTATTAATCTGATGCCTAGAATGTTGAATGTACAAATAAAAACATTTATATATTCTCTGTTTATTTCACATGCCATGCAAAAAATAATAGTTATTTTTAGGGCGAATGTTTTTCATAATAGTTTGTTTATTAAGGGTTAGAGCAGTAATCATGACTGGACAATGAAAACTTATTCTAACATTTATCAAGTTCTTCTACTCCATTGATTTTAATATTGAAAAATTGTTGAAATCTTTTCAAATAATTTTTCGGGTACTTAAGTTGTGCTTATCTTTTTTACCAAACTGTAAGTAACATACTTTAACTTTTTCGTAACTTTTAAGTCCGATGATCTTCGTATTTATATGAACCTTTATTACAGTAAAACTAGTTAACTAGTAATTCTTTAAAAGAACCCCTTTGATTAATACTTACCTATAGGATAGTTTGAACAAAAAAGTCTCTTAGATTTAATCGATAGACCATTTCTGTTCAAAGTAATGACGAAATTTTCTCTTTGAATGAGTTTTTCATTGGGAAATAAATTGGTTTAAAAATACATTTATTCCAGCATTAAGTTTTCTAAGTATCATTCAAAGAAAAGAATTCTTTGAACTAATGCAACATTACAGTTATTTCTCAATAATTACAACTTAAGTTTACCGAAATCTTATTTTATTAAAAATTGATTTTTGTTTTCTTTCATAATGATGAAAATTCCTTTACGCACATTCTTAAGGCAATTATTACTTTTTGTTGGATAAATTACCCATTTCCGACACAATTATTTAAGAATGTTCTGAATCGACTTTATTGCATTTTTCATTTTATACAGGTGATTAAAATTTTGTGAAGAACGTTTTTGTTTTTATTTAAACATATCTTTATGTTATTAGAAAATTATAAAATGTGTAGAATATGATTAAAATATTTACATAACTTAAATACTCTTTAAAAAACTTTTAATTTTTTTTTATGATTTGCACGTATTTTAAAAAGTATTGCTTTTAATAAAAGTAAGTCAATATCTTTATGAGTAATATAAAAAATAAATTCCATTTAAAATATTCTAACTGAATAAAAACAAAATTTTATACTTCTTTTATAAATATGATAATACTTTGCATATTTTATATTACTTTGATGAGGTACCACGTTGAAAATATATTACTCTTTATACTTATGTTTATTGTATTTGATTAAACAACGCTATACTCTAAGAAAAATTGTAACTCAATATTGATCATAATATTGATACATCTAACAATAATATGGTTTAAATTTACCATAAACTTAAAGAAGTATGAGATTTCATCATGTTTTCGTTTAAGTTGTCACGTCATATTACTAAGTTTCAGAAGTATCGTAAAATTGGTTTCAAATTAGTATCACATTAAAAATGAAGAAAATTTCAATAATATTATCGTTCAACATGCTGCAAAATTTTTAACCATATAAAATTCATCGTAAATGGAAATTAAGTGCAATTTAATAGCTTTTTCAAGTTGCATCAAATTTATAGGATACTTTTATATTTAATGTGCTGATATTATGATTCAACGTTTTACCGATATTTTTTCGAGGGAAGCTATCCTGAGTAAAAAAGGGCGGTCAACGCTACCAGAATATGGTGAAATTTACCGTGTTTCTGGCTCTATGAGAACACCAAAATCACAGTAATTTTTGCTGAAGCACTTTAGGTATGATTTTGGAAAAATTTACTGTAAAATACAGTTTAATAACATGTAATAAAATTTGGTAAATGTGATAAAGTTTTATAATTTTATCACAATACCTTAAAGCATGGCATAAAACCATTTATTCGGTTAAATTTATTTTTCGGTTTTGTATTTTTTACTAAATGAGGGGTAATAAGAACTGCAATTTTGAAAACCAGAATTTCTGATGAACCTCTGCCATATTAACAGAAACATTTCTAAATAAATAATTTAAGTACCGTATGTTTTGAATTTCTTAACCAGATTTCGACCGAGAAATGTCATTACCATACGAAACGGTAATTTTACCAGAATTTGTTCCTCCGTGTACCACCAATTTTAACCATCAAAAGTGAAAACTAAAAACTCTACTAGTTTATACTTTTATTAATTCAATTTACAAAGCTGTGTGAACAAAAATACGTCTTCAAAGCGATAACACAAAGTTATCTTTACCACAAATCGATGTTTAACAGATGTCTTTCAAGTAAAAACTGTTCAAGGTTTTATGGTATGGGGCATGCCAGAGTTGGGCAGCAGTTGGGATAATAACGATCCGGACCGAGTCTTGAAATAACTTTACATTTCCCGAGAGGTTTCACTGCTTCACAGCTGCAAAAAATAGACAACAGTGATCAATTATATTAATATGACAATTAATATGACAATTAAATAATCAATTTACAGGAATTAAAATCTAGAAGTATCTTTTATTACTCGAATTATTGAAGGAGGTCTGTGAAACATTTATAAATATTTTTTATTAATGTATTTTGAAGCAGTGAAAGCAAAAGTTTTACTTTTACACAACTGCATAAAGACAGGCAAGTTTAAATAATTGCTTTAAAGGAATTAAAATCAAGATGGATCTATTCTTATTATTTAACTAGATCCAGAACACATTTTCAACTCTTTTTTTAAGACAGCATGTTGACGCAGTGAAAGGAAAAGTTCTATTTCTTTTCAACAGCAAAAGATTTAGTGTCAAGTTGACATAAATACCTTACAAAAGATTAAAATTATAAAGATTATAAGGTATTATGATTTGATCATTGTTTTAAGGAAGTCCTGGATATGGTTGAGTATCTTTTTTAAGAATGCTTTGATTCAAATTAATTTTTTAGATTGTTGTATATGTTACCGGCAAAGTTTGAAATCCGACATTCTATGGAATGCCTAGGCATTGTATATAATGCCTAAAAATAGCCGGCAATCTATGAAATGATTTATATTTCACACATTTTCTAGGCATTCTACAGAATGCCAAATGAGAAACCGGCAAAGTATAAAATCTTCTGTGGCCATGCTAGTAAAGGTGTTGAAATGGATATTTTGTGTAATATTTGTTTCTAAACTGAAAATAATTGTGACTTAAACGTGAATTTTTTAATGAAAATTTTGTTTCCCTTAATAAGAAAGGCAAAAATTATGCTTTGTACAACTTTCATATTTCTTTACGCATTTTGAATAAATTTTTTTTAGTTTCCTCACATTATTTTTTCAGAATAACATTTTTATTTTTGAGAAATGCGCATCATTTACATAATACATCAGGGAGTTTTTTTGCATACTTTGCCTAAATAGCATTTGTCATTCTATAGAATGCTTAGGTATTATATACAATGCCTAAAGAAAGTATCTAATATTTCTCATATTTCATACCTTGCCTAAAAAACATCCGTCATTATATACAATGTCTAGGCATTTTATAGAATACCGACGTTTCATACTCTGCCGGTAACATATACATGAAATAAACACAAGAAACTCATAAATCTGCCATTAGTAATTGTTTTTAAGAATTTAAGGAGTTGATGTTTTATATTGGTTTATGTTGTCGGAAATACTTATACTTTGTTTTTTTAGCAGTTTTTGAATAAAAATGCTCATATTTTGTTCTCCTCTTAGCAGTTTTTACTATAAAGTTATTTTGAAAGTTCTAAAATTCTATGTTTTTACTTTTATTATTCATAAAACAATTGTAAATTAAACTCTCTTTAAAAAATATTATTAAAAAAGTAAAAGAATATTAAAAATATTGTACTTTAGTATTAAATTGTTTTGATTTATTTCGAATAAAAATATCCATATTTTAATTTTTATAGCAGTTTCTTTTCTGTAAGTGTATAAAACAGTTTTAATTTTTTAAAATTAAAGTTTTAAATTTTTATTTATCATTCAAAAATTTAATCCACTTATCTTTAATAGGTTTTGATTGTATATTGTTTTATTGATGGGAAAAACATTATAAAATAATCTTCGAGAAGGAAGCCTTCGGAAGCGAGAAGGATTGAGCACTCTTTGAAGCTCAAAATTAAGGAAAACAAGACTATGTCTTTTTAATTTAAGCAAGGAGACATTTTTTTTCTCCTCTTGAAAGACAATTAATTGAATAGTTTTTTAATACAAAAGTTTGATCTTCCTAAATAAATAATTTTTTCTGATAGCGAATTTCAATAACCATAAGTTTCTGTAAATTAATATACGTAGTGAGATAATAAGGTAATTCCATCGAGTGAGAATAATCACTTAGAGATTTAAAAATATTCATTATCATATGAAAAATAATTACAAAAAAAGTAATTTAGCAAAGTTGTAGACTTAGTATATGTCCTTAGAAATGATGCAAATATGAAGAATAAAAGATTAAAAATTCGCATTTTTATCTTTCATCATCGATCTCTTACCACATCTTCGGATGTCTAATAATCTTATAGTGAAAGTTTGCAGAGAACAACTTATGTAGACACTTAATTCTTTGTAGCGGGGTGCATGCTTTAGCAGAGAATGCAAATCTGCCACTCTCATGACTGGCTGTACAGGAATGTGAACCCCAGCTCTGAAACCATAACATTTCCTCCGCTCCTCAACACACGAGTAGTTTAGTTTCCAGCATCCTGCACTTCTCAATTCGTGACCCCTTACTATAAGAATACCAAACACCCATTCATGTATAAAAAGCAGCATCTCAGAGCTGCTTAACACAAAAAAAATCTAGTATTTCCCATCTCTGACGATAGATGGCACTACTCGATAAACTAACTAAACCGTATTCCTCGATTCACTAAATAAAACACAACTAAACTAAGCCTAACTCCTGTGGTGCATTATTTAACGAAAAGCCTAACATAACCTAACTCCAAAGTCCAGTCAACTTTCAGTTTTACAGGTTTTGAAACAATACTAATAGTAAATGGTGACAAAATCGGATGCTTTTATATTTACGGTTTTTTAACCATACCAATTGTAAACGGTTTAAAACCCGTGATGGTTAAAAAGTGTTCCTAACAGTAAACTTTATGGATTGACAGACGGTCGATTATTTCATCGTGATTTTGAAATGAAAATTCGAGAAATTTGCCATATAATCTTTTTAATAATATGTGCCCCAAACTGTAAAAAGTTATTACATAATTTACATTTGCAAGCATAAAACTTGTAATTAAAATTACTCATAGACTAAAAGAATACTTACGTAGCGCCAATAAGTCCACTTTTATGACAAGTAACTCGGTTGCAGTTTTTGTTGTCATAGCCATCCTCTCCTAGTTTGAGCACCCCGTATTTATCGGTAAAACAATACCCTATATACCAAAATAATTTGAAACATTTAAATTTTAAACTAAAACAGACAATAGCAGAATCCAATAAGTTAAGAAAAATAATTGAATTACTGTAAAAATACAACTTTTTAAATTACTCAGTGCAAATTATTAGGGACGAAGTAAAGTTCTTTCAGAACAATTATCCATATTGTAATTTTAAATATTCCATACTCTAATTGGAAAATCTAGCTTTTTGAAAATATCACTATATTTTTCCTGATGAAGAGAATTTGCATAATGCAATATTATAATATGTCAAAGAATCTGTTTAGCCGTTCAACGAGTTTACCACACAATGCAACAGTTAATTAGCATTGGGAATACTAGCCAATAACTTTCCAAACTTAAATAACTTAGGATTTGACGAATTAATTTGATTTTGGGCGTAAAATCTTTAACTACATTTAGGTTTTTAAATGTGCTTCTGCAACTTTTGTAGAATAAATTTTAGTATATAGTAAATAATAATTACTTAAATGTAGTAAGTTTTGAACTCGTAAACAGAAACATTCTCTTTAATTGTAAAATACGGTACATGCGAACTACACATAAGCTTCTTAGATCTGAAAGAGAATCTATATAATAACGAGTTATGTTTGTTCTATAGAACAGTTTTAAGATATGTGATGAAAAAAAGTTTCTTTAAAATTTTTAATTTCATAAAACTTATAAAATATATTATATTCTGTCTTTAAGAGTTATAAATACGAAAGTTTCAGTTACCACTTGACGTATCCATTGGCTGATTGAAAGTAGCTGCTCCACTTTCCACAATCATGAGAGCCAAACCAATGCAAACAATCAAGATTGTTTTCACATCCATTATAGAGTCTAATTCTTAAAAATATTTATAAAAAGTAATAAACTACATTAATAAAGTTTATGTTGCAAAATATATTAAAAATAATTCTTAATAACATTTATATAATTATTTAAAGCAATTGAAAAGAATTTTATTATTTTTAGTAGTAGTTGACGTTTTAGTAATAATAGTATGAAGTTGAATATTTGAACCATTAGTGCAAATTTACTGGGAACTTTAACTTAATGCCAAGTTTAACGTAATTATCTTCTCGGGCAACTGAATCTTTCTAAAACCAGATTATTCGATACGGTAACATAAACTAGATTGCACAATACAACGAGCACAATTAACCAAATCATCTTCGCGTGCAACTGAATCTTTCAAAAACCAGATTATTCGATACGGTAACATAAACTAGATTGCACAATACAACGAGCACAATTAGCCAAATCATCTTCTCGTGCAACTGAATCTTTCTAAAACCAGATCATTCAATACGGTAACATAAACTAGATTGCACAATTAACCAAATTATCTTCTCGTGCAACTGAATCTTTCTAAAACCAGATTACTCGATACGGTAGCATCCAATATATATAATTCTCTTACGTGGCTCCCAAATTTTGGCTGTATTTCTTTTCCGCCGGTGGCAACGTTTGCTTTGTTTTGTTTACGTCACTATTTCTCTTACACGGCGAATCGACCAATGATTGCTGCTAAAAATGTCACATTCCAAATCTAGCTTAGGAGGCTCAACATATAGCGCTTTTAAAAACGGAAACTGAAATAACCAGAGAGCATCAGCTGCGGCAATCTCATATTATTAAGCTAGGCAGAAGTGAGTGGTCTTTGTCGATAGATCTCTATTTTAGTATTTTGTCAAAAGCGCTTTTTTTCGCGAATTTATATATTACGAATTTATTTGACGATTTTTGATTTATATCACGAATTATACAATAGCACATTTCTAATAGGTTTAACGAATTACATGTCATTTATTTGAATTCAAATTTATTTTAATGACTTAGTTATACTTAAAAGATGTAATTTTTTTTAAAAAAAAAAAAAAAATTTTATATAGATTTGAATGATTATTTTGAATTCTTAAAATTTTGTGCATTTGCAATGCACCTAAGTTAGTAGTGAGGAAAGCGAGCTTGGTTTGCGAAGCAAAGCCATATAAGATTGCGTAGCAATTTTCGGGGGTTGGCGAGCGGTAGCGAGCAGGGGGCAAAGCCCGCTAGTAAACTAGATTGCACAATACAACGAGAGAAAAAAACATGATTTAGCTAAATTTCTTATTAAAGTTATAGGAGATTCACACGATTTTGTGGTTTAGCAATGGGCTACCTCCCAAAGTAACGATACTGAGACTTCAAAGGTTTTACATAATTTTCTCTCTCAGAAGCATTACTTTAAAATATAAAGCAATGAACTAAGTCAAAACATGACTCTTAAGTAATTACATCATAAATAGCCCGTGATACAGCACTGTAAAAATATTCGTACGATTTTTTTTTTGTTCACTAATTTTCAATTTTTACTACTTTAAAAAAATAATAACATTTTTATTCTTCTTATTTAAAAACTAGAATAATTTTTAATAAAAATTACGATTACTATTAATTTTTTCCTAATACCAGTGACAAAGCAAATACACTAATTTAAAGGAATTTATAGATTACATACCTACTTCTGTCTACTGTTTAAATGGAAGTAATGAAAAATACTATAGAATTATTTTATCATTTTATATCTTCAATAAATATACCTTTTGTATAAACAGGTTAGCGATATAAATAATAATTTACATTTTATATACATATTTCGTATTTATTTCTATTTTATTAAGCAAAATATATGCTTATAAACTTCTAACTTTAATCAAATTGTGAGTTAAAATCAATATATTACTTCTCTATGACAGCTTTTATCATAAAACACACCACATAAGAAACGTATATCAAAGTAGCAGTAACCCATTCTATTTTAAATACAAATCATAAATATTAATGGGACATACTATGAATTATGAAAGCATAAAATATTTCTAAATATAATCCATTTCATTCCGTCAACAAATAGACCTAATGCATAAATAAGAATATTAATTGATAAGCAAAATCACAGTTTGCAAAAACTGTTAGAATATTTATTTCAAACGAAATATAAGCAACTGGCTGAACTAGATAAATCATTCAATGCTCTAGTTCCGAGTTATCTGAAAGAAAATTCCATTTATCATACATACTAAGATATTACGATTTAAATATTTTTGTAAAGACATCGAATGGAATAAGTAATACCAGATAAACCTATAAAAAATACTTAACCTATTAACGAAGGAAAATTACAGACATATGAATAAAGGGGGAAAAGAAAAAGAAAAATAACAAAAAACTGGGGGGGGAATAAATAAAAATAATAATAATAAATAAAAAAAAGGATAAAATTTTTTTAAAAATCCAGAAAATAAAACATATAATCTTTTCATCAACGCACACGATTATATCCGCAAAAAGAGTGCTTTCTAATATTGTATCAATATAGCTGAAGCAAAATATATCAATACAATAGTGTGAGGAACACAAAAAATTTTTACAAAAATTACAACAAATGAAATGGAACACAATAAGTAAAAATAACACGTAAAAACAGAAAATAAAATATACAGAAGAAACAGAATAAAACTTAAAATATAATCTACAAAGCGAGTGCCCGGCCGGATTTTTCGGGCAAATGCGTGGTCAAAATTATTTACTAAAAAATTCATTTATTAAAAAAAAAAAAATTCCTTTCTTAATTTATATAGTTTTTTCCATGTGCAAATCCATTTCGGGCAAATCCGTGATTAAAATTATTTACTAAAAAATTTCTTTATTAATTTATGCAATTTTTCCATGTGCAAATCCATTTGGGGCAAATCCGTTTCTAAAATTATTTGCTAAAAAGATTTCTTTGTTAATTTATGTAATTCTTCCATGTGCAAAGCAATTTCGGGCAAATCCGTGGCTAAAATTATGTGCAAAACTGGCAATTCATGTTTCGTTCTCTTTTTTATTTTATACTTTTTTCTTAAATAAATATTTATTTTCTACAATTATTTATAGTCAACTTCTTTAAATTATCCAGTACAATATTACCTTGCGCACATCCATTTTCGGGCCCATCCTTGGTAACTAACAAATCAAACGCACTTCAGTAATGCAGTAAGAACGCACTTCAGAACAAAACTTCTCTAGTTACGCTCAATTTGCGCTTCTGTTTTCATATTTTGCAATCTGGCAATCTTATTGCGAAAATATTTTGAATCATTCTTGAAAAATTTCTCGTTCATGTAAGTTCATTTGAATTCGCTACTCGCTTTATAGATTATGTTTTAAGTTTTATTCTGTTTTTTTTCTGTATATTTTATTTTCTGTTTTTACGTGTTTTTTTTACTTATTGTGCTCTATTTTATTTGTTGTAATTTTTGTAAAACTTTTTTGAGAGCTCCTCACACTATTGTATTGATATATTTTGCTTTGGCTATATTGATACAATATTAGAAAGCACTCTTTTTTGCAGATATAATCGTGTGGGCTGATGAAAAGATTATATCTTTTATTTTCCGGATTTGTAAAAAAATGTTATCCTTTTTTTCGGATTTTTTTTTTAAATTATTATTTTTACTTATTTTTTCCCCCAGTTTTTTGTTATTTTTATTTCTATTATTATTTTTCTTTTTCCCCCTTTATTCATGTCTGTAATTTTCCTTTGTTTTATCTTCATTTTGAACTTATTTTACGAGTTACTTGCAGCTTATGCGCAATAAATGAAACTTATTGTTTTTCTTAACTTTCTTCGTGTTTTTTTTTATTTATTTATTTTGCTATATATATATATCTATACACATCTGAAGTGAAACATGTTACAATGATTNATATATATACTTGTATATATATACTTATACTTGTATATATATACACACACCACGCATATCACATTATAAAGCTATTGTTTCGCTGCCTAAAAAGGATTTTTTGTTTCTTACATTTCTTTATTTATCTACTATCTTTCGTTATCTACAATCTATTAGCTTTGCTCTACATGTTCTGAATGAATTCAAGGAAAAGAATCTTTAGAAAAAAATGAACAAATAAACTATGTATTGGTTTTATCTTTTCTTTTCTGTGTCATTACTAGTAAAGATTACCAATCAACCAAAAACTTAGTGGGTTTTTCTTAGACTTCAGTTCTTTGTTAACAATTTACAGCAGTAATATTAAAAACCATATTACTGCTGTTAAAATTTTATCTTAAAGATTTGGTACTTCATATCTAAAAATAATTGTAATATATGTAATAATATATATTATACTATATAAAATAATATGTATAATAACATATACAATATTATTATACACATTATTGTCAAACGAGCAAACATTTATCAAAACATAAAATTGAAAGAATAACTTATAAATCGTTATTTAAATTTTATTAATAAAAGAGTTTTATTCGTCGTTTGTACAAATTACAATTCGTAAAAATTTTAGTTCAACTAATATTTCGCGAATTATAAATGTAGACATATATGTATAGTGAGAAAAGTTTTGTTTTGCATGAAATGCACTTGAGAGTTATTGAATTGTTGGCAAATATTTTCCTTCACATAACTAATTTCAAACAAATGGGAAAATACCTGAAAAGTAAATTAAGTGAAAGTTAAAATATTTACCTATGTCCAGATTAAATTATTCGGACCATATTCTCTGATTGCGACTAACCTTCCTTCCTTTTATTCCGAAGTCTTTGAATAACTATACGTTTTGAAATTTAAAATCCCTTGGTATGAACTAATTAATAAGCATACTTTATTCGATAATCCTTGAACCGCTGGCATTGTATTCCAGAACGAGAAACCACGATTGCTTTATCAAAATTGGATCAGGGTATACCGCCTTTTCACTAAATATACACAACTCATTGACAAGTTTGTAAAATATCGGAAAAACGTTTTAAGTGTCTATGATGAGGACAGCAAACTTATTCAATTTTAACTATCCATGCACATTTGTTTCTTTCAAAATTTAAAATTTTATAAAACTCTATGAAGAAGATGTTAAGGATAAAAAGAATTTTACATGGATCATAAAGTACACCAAAGAGCCATAATATTATGACCACCCTCCATCTATAACAATGGGCTCGCACAGGTTTCCATAGTTCCTCGCCCAGGCACAATGTTTCCATGGGGCACATTAGGATCCATAATCCTCATAGAACAATCTCTGACGTCTGTAAGCTACTTGCACATAGTTGCAGACCAGGTTCACCCATTCATGGCAACAGTTTTTTCTGCGGGGGATGGTGTTTACCAACAGGATAATGCACCATGTCATAAGGGTTGAATCGTCGAGGAACATTCCAGAGACTTTCAAGTCATATCTTGGCTACCAAATTCACCTGACCTTAATCTAATAGAGCATTTGTGGTCCTACTTGGAAAACCAAATTCGTGCTGCCACGCTAACCCCTCACAATGTGAGGGAATTGCAGGACCAGTTGGTGAGCGCTTGGTACCAGATACCTCAGACTACCTATCAGCACCTTGTGGGATCAATGTCACAGTGGGTGCTAGCAGTTTTGAGGGCTAAAGGTGGCCCTACATGCTATTAGCAGGGTTGTCATAATGTAATTGCTATTCGGTGTATATTTAGGTAAAATTAGTGTCATTAAAAAAAGCCTTTATTTAAAGAAAGCTTTTGTTTATTGCTTTTCATGAAAAATTAATAAATACTTAACAATAATGCTTGTAAAATAGAAAAATTAAAACCGTACAATACTTAATTCATAAAGTCATGACTTTGTAAAAGCGGTCAAACGGGTCAACAAATGCAGCTATAAAAATGCAAAAGATTGATATTTCGTGTTGCATATTTACGAATTTACACCACTAGAATTTACCTTCTAAAATGATGGTAAAATAACCAGCAGTCGACTGTCTATTTTAATTAACTATTCAGTTTAGTGCTGGAATTTTATTTTTTACCTTTATGGGTTTGAAACCTGCCCATAACCGTTTACGTTATGGTTAAGAAACCGTGAATACGAAACTATACACTTTTGTAACCATGTTAGTCTTTTCATTAAGTAAGGGCTATTGGAGTTAAGTTATGGTTGAGTTGTGTTTTGACAAGTGAACTGTGGAATGTGACTTAACTAATTTATCCACTGATGCCATATATTTTGAGAGATGGAGAATACTAGATTTTTTTGTGTTAAGCAGCTCTGTGGAGCTTCCAACAATGCGTAAAAGAGAGTATAGTACTCCAAAAGTGTAGAGTCACCTTTTGAAGAGTGCTGGGAGTAAACTCTTCAAGTGTTGAAGGAGTGGAAGAAGTGCCCCTGCTGGGATTGTAAGCCCGTTCAGCCTGTCATGATATCGGCTGATTAGCCCCCTCAGCTGAAGTACGTACTTAGCTGCAAGGAACTAAAGGATCTTAAATGTTGTTCACCAAACTTACTACTGTAACAATATTAAATAGCCACAGTTGTATTGGGAATCCGATAATGGAAAATAAAAATATGAATTCGTAATCCTTATCACATGACTTAACTTCTAGATTTCAATACGGTACAGTTCTTTTATTTACGTCACACGAAAGCTGCACAATGGGCTATTGGCGGCGGCCTGGGAAACATTCCTGAGGATGATCCAGAGACAACATACATGCGTCACAGCCCGTTTTACACGGAGGATAGAGTCACACACCAACCATTCATCCGTAGGTCGCAATTTTGA